TGGCAGATTGTCTACATTTCACTTTAAATGGTAAAATACTAATTCTAAATAAAGAGTAAAATGTCAAATAGGAATATTGTAATCCTTGGGGAACCACTATAAAACTATAAGAGAGATGGAGTCAAAAACTCAATAGGTGGATTAAAATGGGATAAAAATATTCCTTAAATAATCCAAAATTAGGCAGGAAAGGGAAAACAAGGACTATAAAAGGTAACATATGATAAGTAATAAAATGGTAGAATTGACTCTATAACAAACAAAAAAACCCCAATGATTGCATTAAATGTAAATGATTTAAATGTGGTAAGTAAAAGACAGAGGCTATCAAATTGGATAATAAAGAAAAGTAAGACCTAAGTATATGCAAGCAATTCATTTTAAATATAATGATATAAGTAGGTTAAAAGTAAAAATAAATGGGAAAAAACATATACCTTCAACATTTTAATCAAAAGAAAGATGCAGTGGGGCTGGCCTGGTGGCATAGCGGTTAAGTTCGCACACTCCGCTTCAGCACCCTGGAGTTTGCAGGTTCGGATCCTAGGAACAGACCTAGCACTGCTCATCAAGTGACACTCTGGCAACGTCCCACATAAAATCGAGGAAGATTGGCACAGATGTTAACTCAGCGATAATCTTCCTCGAGCTGAAAAACTGACGAAGATTGGAGGCAGATGTTAGCTCAGGGCCAATCTTCCTCACAAAACAAGAAAAAAGAAAGAAAGAAAGAATGATGGAATGGCTATATTAATATCAGACAAAGTAGACTTAAGAGCAAGGAAAATTGCCAAGTGTAAAGAGTGACATACATACTGATAAAAGGGTCAATTTGCCGGAAGACAACACAAACTTAAATATACATGTGCTTAATAACAGAGCTTTAAAATATATGAAACAAAGACTGATAGAGCCAATAAAAGAGTAAATAGAAAAACAATATAAAACTTAAATAACCATAAACTAATTCTTTAATAATAATTAATAACATTGATGAACCTCTTGCCAGGCAAACAATAGAAGAAGATACAAATTATGAATATCAGGAACAAAAAAGAGGCTATTAGTCCAGACTCCAAAGATAGGTTTTTATTGAGATATAATTGACATATAACCTTGTATTAGTTTTAGGCATACAACATAACGATTTGATAAATGTTTATATTGTGAAATGAGACTCCATAGATATTAATAAGAGATTATTATGAATAATTCTACATGCAGAGATTTTGACAACTTAGATGGACCAGTTCCTTCCAAACCACAAAGCATAAAAGGTCATCCACAAAGAAATGTACAACTTGAATTGTTCTTTATCCAATAAAGAAATTGATCTCATAGTTAGAAACCTTTTGAAAAAAAAGTTTCAGGCTCAAATGGTTTCACTGGCAAATGCTGTCATACATTTAAAGGAGAAATTAAAAATTCTTTACAATCTCTTCCATAAAATATAAGGGAAGGGAACAAGTTCCCAGGTCATCTTATGAGCCTAGTATTATCCTGATACCAAAAGCAGATAAAGGAAACCACAGAACAATCTTTCATGCATATAGAAGCAAAATCCTAGACAAAATCTTAGCAAATCAAATCTAGAAATATCTAAAAGTTATAATACACCCTGACTGAATCCACCATTTTAATATAGTAAAGAAGAAAAACTATAGAAACATATCAATTTATACCAAAAACAGAATTTGACAAAACTCAACATCTATTCATAATAAAAACACTCAGCAAACTAGGAATAGAAGAGAACTTTCTTAATCCAAAAAAGAGAATCTACCAAAAAAGCTTACAGCTACCATCATACTTAATGGTGAAAATTGAATTCTTTCTGCATAGACTAGAACAAGGCAAGAAAGCCTACTCGTCCGTCTGATTGACCAACATGCAGATAAAAACCATGATGAAACACAACCACACACGTTTTAGAATTAGAACAATCCCAAGTGCTGGTGAGGATGCAAAGCAACTGGGACTTTCCTACCTTGCTGGCGGCAATGCAAAATGGTATGGCCACCCTGGAAAACAATTTGACAATTTCTTATAAAGTTTTACGTGTACTTGCCATCTGACCCAGCAATCCCATTCCAAAGTCTTAATCCTAGAGAAATGAAAATGTATGTCCACACAAAAGCCTATATGTGAATGTTTTTATCAGGGCTATTTATAATTGTCCAAAACTGGAAACTACCAAGTGCCCTTTGGTGGGTGCACGTATAAACAAACTAGTAAATGCATCCATATGGTAGGATACCACTCAGCAATAAAAAGAACTGAAATCATGACATACACGACAGCATAGATGTGTCTCAAAGGCGTTATGCTCAGTGAATAAAGCCATTCTCAAAACATTACACCATAGATACATGACAAGTAAGTAATAAAGCTCAATACCCATTTATGATAAAAACTCTTTGCAAACAAGGAATAAAAGGAAATCTCCTTAGTGTGATAAAGCATGTCTACCCAAAACTTATGGCAAATAGCATTCTTCGTGGTGACCCATTAGAAATGGTCCCTTTTGAATTATGAACAAGATAAGAATGCTCACGTCCACTATTTCTGTTCTACAGTGCCCTGTAATCATAGCCGACAGACTAAGGGAAAAAATTAACGTATAGAAAGAAAAGGAAGAAAAAAACCCATTATTTTACTGCTCATGATTATCAATAGAGCAAACCTTAAAATATCTACAAATGAGTTTAGTCAAGTGGTTACATATGAAATCAATATTTTTAATTTAATTTCTATATTCAAGCAAAGAAAATAAAGATACCATTAATTTTCAATAGCAACAAAAGCATACAGTACATACAAACAGTGCTGTTAAAGGAGGTGTGACAACAATACTAAAATAATAAAGTTTTATTGAGGCTTTTTTAAAGACCCGAATAAATGGATAGATATACCATATTTAACAATACAAAGATTCGATATTTTAAGGATGGTAAATTGTCTCAAGCTGGTCTATAGATTCAATGCAATTCCAATCTAATTCCCAACAGGGTGCTTTCGAATTTGACAAGCTGATGCTAAAATCTATATGAAAGTACAATGACCTAAGAATATCCAAGACAACTGAGGAACAATATGTCAGGCAGCCACCTTCCCCCACCAGATTTCTAGTTCCATGGCAACTTCATAGTAGCCAAGACCATGTGGTACCACAGCAAGGTAGGTGAATTGTTCAGTGTAACAGGAGAAAGAGCCCAGGTGGAGATCCCTATGTTGAAACTTGTAATTTATCAGATAAAGAACGCATTTTGGATAACTGGGAAAAAATGACCCACACATGAATGGTCTTGATCATTTGGGTATTCATACGGGGAAAGATGAAAATGTATCCCCACTTTACAAGAATTCCATATGCACTAAAGACCAAACTGTAGGAGAGAGCATTAAAAATGTTAAAATATTTTTATAATATCCAAGCAGACAAGAATTTTCTTACATAAGCACCCTGAGTCAGTAGCCACTAAGAAAGACATATTGACATGATGGATGTGATTGTAAATTCAATTATGTTAGAATCAAACACTTGTATTCATCCAAAGGCGCCATACAGGTTATCAAAAGATAAGCCACAACTGGAAGAAGAGTTGCAATATAAAAAACAAACAGAAGATCCATATCCAAAGTATATTGAAGATTGAACACAAATCAGTAAGAGAATACAAAAATCCAACAGAAATTTTGATAAAAGCCTTGAACAGGCCCTCTCAGAGAAAGGAAACACAAAAGGCACAGATAGATTAGCTAACTAGCTAGCTAGACAATCAGTAATATATATCTCTATATGTATAATATAATCTATATATTTATACATAATTAATAATATGCTTAAGATCTGTATGTATCTCTCTATATATATATCTTTAGATGCTCAGTCTAATTAGTAACCAGTTAAATACCAATTTGGACCATTTACAATCGCTAGATAGGTAAAGATTAAGATACTCAATGATGTTAAGTGTTGGTGATTATACTCTTATCTTGCTCTTGGGAGCGGAATTGGTACCATCCATTTGGGAAGCAATCTGGCGTTATCTTATAAAACTAAACTTTTCCATTCCTGAGTAGGCTGCATTCTATCTTCAGGTGTATATACCCTTGTGCATGTGACCCGGGACATGTACGAGAATGTTTACACAAGTACTGATCACAGCAGCAGAATGACTGGACCCAATTCAAGTGCCCATCAAATGAAAAATAAAGAAATATATTGGGGTATATCCACCCAATGGATTATTATACACCAGCGAAAATGAATCTCTGCTATATACCAACATCAATATATCTTAAAGCATAAAGTGACTTGGAAAGTGCTTGGTGTAGACTATTACATAGAGAATGATTCTGTTTTTATGAAACCGAAAATAGTAAAAAATACAGTGTTTAGGAATAAACATATACACAAAAAATTTTTAAAAAGAGGATGATAAACCCAAAATTCTCTAGGAGGGGTGTTCGCAGGGCAATGTTGAGGTCTACATTATGGCTTTGCTCATATTCTGGCTCGTGAGTGTTCATTTTATTACTATACTTCTTAACATGCGTATATTAAATGTCTCATTTTATATACATACACATTAAATATATTTTGAATCTTATGCATATATTGTGTTATTTTGTATGAGTCAAATAATATTTCTTTAAAAGAATAAAAAGATAGCATGAGCAGAAGAATGAGTGCAAATAAAAGCTTAAGGAACTCAGAGCTGTGAGAACAGAGGAGAGCTGTAGATGGTTTTAAGTGAGAGTGTGGCCTGAGTGTTGGTTGGTTTAGGCTCAGATTACTATTAAGAAGGGAAAGCTCATCCATGGCAGAAATGGCAAGAATGGGCAGGAGGTGTGTTCTGATTATCTATTGCTACTTTAAAAACCATACCATCCCACAACTAGAAGGACCTGCAACTAAGATATACAACTATGTACCGGGGGGCGGGGGCGGGGGTGGGTTGGGAAATAAAGCAGAAAGCAAAAAAAAGAAAACATACCAAAATCGAGTGATTTAAGAAGCGACGACATCTAGTTTGCTCATGAATCTGCAGCTAGGGCGGGGCTCACAGGGTCATCCACGTCTGCTCCACTCAGCATCAGCTGGGGCAGCTCAGTGTCTAGAACTGGAATCCTTAGAAGGCTTGCTCACTCACACATCCAGCCTGGGAGACTCAAACAGATGGTGCCTGCAAATGCTGAAGCTCTTGGGGCATCTCATTGTCCCTCTACCTCGATGTGGTCTCTCCAGCAAGGCGGCTTCAGGGTAGCCAGCCTTCTAGATGTTGGCCCAGGATGCCAAAGGTGTATGTCTGAAGAGAGAGCACCAGGAGGAAGCTGTCCCTCCTTTTTGAACTCAGCCTCGGAAACCGTGCGATGTCACTCCTGCCACGTTCAAGGCAGCCACAAAGTCCCACCCACTTTCAAGAGGAGGGGAAATTTTTTTTTTCCACCTTCTGATGGGGAATGTGAAGTTGCTGGAAAAACACATAGAATTGGAAATGCTGTTGTGGCCCTTTTGGAAAAGCACGATCCAGCATAGCATGCTCTGCGGTCCCTCAGCTGACTGGATGGAGTCAGGGGTTTCGGTAAAGAGGGAAAGAGGATTCAGGTGGGAGGCAGGTGTAGGCTGTGATGCTTAGGTTTGCAATAGGAGTTAAAGGAGGCAAGGAAATTCAAGATTCAAAGGGTGATGAGAAAATGCCATCCAGTAGGGATGGGATGCTTTCTACCAGTATGAAAAGGATACCAGGAAGGAGAAGCTGAAGTCAGAGAGACACGGAGGATGCCTTCCCCAGCCAGGCAGGTGTAAGGGGACCCAGGGGTGGCTAAAGGAATTGTGAGAAAAAAAATCAAAGACATAGGACATACGTCAGGGGACATGGGATGTCCACAAGTAATCAGCAGTTGCCAAAAGACCTCAAGGACTCAGGGTGGCACCTTCATCACTAAATGCCATCATCATCAGGAAGGATTTCTAAAATCCCAGGCCACTAGTTCTCAAGACTGTCTCACCAAGCAACCCAGCACCACCGCATTGCAGGCAGAATGTGATGTCCTGTCAGAAGGGGAACTGAATAATTTAGAGTGATGTCGTCCATAAATATTTAATGATATGAAAAAATGTTCATGAGACAATGTTAAGCAAAAAAAAAAAAAAAAAAAAAACCGGCAGATTGCAAAATAGTATAAATGCGTAGAAAGAAAGAAAAGAAGATGTTCGCTAAAATATTAACAAGATTTATGTCCAGCTAGGGGATTATCACTTAAATTTTTTAATCTTTATTTTTTTATGTCTAAATTTCTATAGTAAAAATTTATTAACACTTTAATAAATAAAAGATATTAATTGCTATATTTAAAAAAAATATCCAGTCTTATGCTAAATAAAACCAGACAGAGGATGTTTTAATGAGATTTATTCAATCTACACTGTACTATAAAATTTTATTTCCTCTGTTAGGAGGTTTGCTTAACTAAAGATGTTTTTTCTTACCTATTAAAATACATAGCAGCTCTCAAAGTGTGACTCTTCCTGGATTCAAGGACAGTACAATTATTTTCATAATAAAACTAAGATGTTATTTCTCTTTGTCACTGTGTTGACATGTACATTGAAGGCGCAAAAGCAATGGGGGGTAACACTGCTGGTGCCTTAGCACCAATCATGGTGGTGACACCAAACTGTCCTGTAGTTATTATATTCACCAAGCACACTTGCAGCAAAAGAAAGGAAAAGAAAAAAGAAAAAAAAAAAGCTAGTTTCACTTAAGCATATCCTCTCTTTTGAAGAAGATTAGCTATGAGCTAACACTGGTCGCCAATCCTCCTCTTTTTGCTGAGGAAGACTGGCCCTGAGCTAACATGCATCCCCATCTTCCTCTACTTTAAATGTAGAATGCCTGCCATAGCATGGCTTAACAAGTGGTGTGTAGGTCCACACCCAGGATCCGAACCGGTGAACCCCAGCCTGCCGAAGCTGAACAGGAGAACTTAACCACTGCACCACCAGGCCAGCCCCAAGCATATCCTTGATGAAGCAGTAAAAAAAAATACTAATTGTACTGAATCTCGAGCTTCAAGTACAGTCTTTCTAATACTCTGTGTGATAGAAAGGAAAGTATATATAGGGCCCTTCTACTGCATGCACATGTACATGGGAAAGCATGTGTGTTTGAATTACAAGTCGAACCAGCTGCTTTCTTTATGGGGTCACCATTTTTCCTTGAAAGAACAGCTAACAAACTATAGCCATTAAACATGACGATTTGGCAGACATTTTTGTGAAAATAAACAAAGTTGTTCTCCCACTTCAGAGGAAAACAATTGGTAATATTTGTTGCTAAGGACAAAATATGAACTTTTAAGAAAAAAATAGAATTTTTGGAAAACTTGTACCTTCTACCATGAGCTTGACAGCTTCCTCATAATTAAAGACTTTCTTTTGGATGAGATGAGCCGTGACTTGTTTTTAAACACTGTATAATGAAATGTGTCAATATTTGGAACTTCTGCATAAGTCAGTAAAGCTAGATTTACCTTACAACCAAGGTGTGAAGTTATAAGATTGTGCATGCGTGAAATATTGATTCAAAATGCAAGAGAAGTAATGAAACAGAATACTAAAAGTTCATCAATATGGTTTTAGATCTCACCTTGCACCTAACATTTAAAAAACGACCACTTGTTGAGTTTTGGCATAGTAGAAAAGAAAAATATCTACAATTATCTGAAAAGACTACTACAATACTTCTCTTTGTCTTTCTATCTCCTTATCTGCGTAAGGCCAGGTTTGCGTCATATATTTCAACCAAAACAGCATAACGTAACAGCTTGCATGCAGAAGAAGGAATGAGAAACAGAATGTCTTCTGTTGAGCCAGGTATTAACGAGATTTGAGAAAAAATGAAAAGCAATGCAATTTCTCACTAATTTTTTAATTAAATAACTATAGTCCTTAGTTTAGAAAATACAGTTTTTTTTATTAAAAAGTTACTGTAATTAGCATGCAGTGGGTTTGTTTTTATTATTTTTAAAGTAAATATTTTTAAAACTGATTTTTCATTTCTATTACAGTAATTGTTGATATATATAAATCACACAAGCAAAGGCTCTTTGGGATCTTGAGACCAAAATACCTGGGAGGCCCTACTTTAAAGGAAGACAGATATCAGATACACAGGAGGAAATTCCCTTCCTCCTGGACGTCTCTGTGTAAGGACATGATGTGTGGAGGCGCCATAGCCATCTCGAAGGGCAGATGAAAGATGAAGCCAAACAGCTGAGGACTGCAAAGCAGAGCCGCAGAAAAAGCCAGGCTCTTGCTGACGTCATTGAGCCATGAGTCGATCAGCTCTATTGACTTGGCTTTGGACTTCCCACTATGTGAGTTAAAAATGTTCTAATTGTTCGAGCCATTCTTAGTGAGGTTATTCTGTTACTGGAACCAAAGGCAACCTAACTGCTATGCAGTCCATGCCATCTCAAGGTGGGAGGGACCGGGCATCTTCGTCCAGCTGCATCTTGTCTTTGCTGTATAATCTTGCGTGTATTATCTCACGTAACCCTCACAACCAAATGGTGAGAGAGGCTGTACTATTCCCATTCAACAGATTAGGTATCTGAGGCACAGAGTGTGTATATTAATTATCTGAGGTCACACAGATAAAGTTGCAATCAATACTCAAACTTTTTGATCTGTTTGGCTTCAAAGTCTGTTCTCTTTCTATCATAACTTCCACCAGGTTTAATAGCCCAAGTCTGGATTTCCGCTGCTGGCAATACAAACATCTCACATTTCTTTTGAAGCACCAGTGTAATCTTTCAAATTTAATAATCAAATGCAGTTGAGCTTTGTTTGTTTCTAATTTTTTGTTTTACTTCATAATTACCCAGTTAGTTTTTCCTCGTTGTACTTGCAGAATTGTTTTCATATTTTATATAACTTTTTTCCACACTGTACTGTAACTATATCTTGCAATGTCTTATTCCCAGTGGACTGTGAATCCAGCACAGGGCTTAACATATAATAGGGGTTTCATGTACCTGTAGTGGTGACAACCAGTTAAGAGTATTCACTACGGGCTGGGTTCTTGAGATTTATCACAACTAATCTTGACTCAGCTCTTCAGCAGGGTTAATATTATCCCCATTTTATAGGTGAGGAAATTGGGGTTCAGCTAGGCTGGCCCATGTAAAGACAGATGGATAGTTAGTGTGTGAACCAGAATTCAAGCATACTTCCTTCTGGCAACATTGAGGAGCAAAACTTGAAAAGTTATGAAGCTTCTCTCATTTAATACCTCTAGCGATAAGAACGTCACTCCTTACTGGACAATCCATTCGCTTACAGGCAGACATAATAATTATAAAGTTCTTCCTTAGAGGAATTTGCATTACCAACTATGATCCTATGATGACAATGAATTGTGACATTTGGAGTCTAGTTACAACTAACTAAGCTCTGCAGAGACAGAGCAAGTGAGGCAGCACGCATGTGCATGAGACTGTGGGGTCCCAGATGGAGAGAGAGGATGCCAAGAGTTGAGAAGATCTTTAGCTGTTGAGTCATGGGATTTCTATTATTTTTCAGTATTTTATCTTTATCACGTTCCTAGTGTTTCATGTTTTGACTCACTGGTAGATGCTGGCACCATGCTAAGCATCTTAAGATGACCCTCTTTTAATTCTTCTGACACCTCTATCAGTTTGGTGGCATTATTTCTCTTTTGCAGTTGAGAAAAGTGAGTCACAGAGAGGTTGGTACACTTATTCAAGTTTACACAACTAGTGAGCGGCAGAGTTTAACCCAAGTGTCTATCCCCAAAGCCTGTGTTTTCCAACCCTGGACTTTGCCACTTCTTCCACATCCCTGAGAATGAAGGGAGAAAAGAGCTTCCAACCTCTCTGCCCCGGCATAAGATACATACCCAGTAACAGCAAGTTTGTTCAAGTAACCAATTTGTACATTATAACTCTTCAAAAACGGAGTTTTATGAAAGACCTAATGAGCAATTTTAATTTGCCCTTTGGTCTTCAGACTGTCTTTTATCCTTTCAACTGATTCTGGAAAGAGAATTCAACCAAATAAATCTTCAGGAGTTGAATGAACTTTGACATGCATTTCTTAGAACCTCTTTCCTACCTTAGTTTTCTGTCATATGCTCAGTTAAAAAGGGTGAAGACGAGAACTGTCAACGGTCACAGCCAACTCCATTGTGCATTTGATTTAATTTACATACAGTGAGATGCACAGATCGTAAAAGTATAGTTGGGTGAATTTAAACAAATATGTGCACCCATGTAAGCAATACAAACTGTGTTAAATGGTGTCCA